CCCCCCCCCCCCCCCCAAAAAAAAGAAAAAAGCCTGCGGAATTTTCCCGTTCTTATTGATTTTTCTTGGATGCATATGCACTGAATCCCTCTTCGGACTGGTAAAGCGATCATCAGTGTAATTTCCATTTGCCGTAGACTTCAGGATGATCTCTGAACTCGTCTCGGTCCAAAAGCGTGTCCTTCTTTCTCTATTGCTGGTATTTCGCGGCGCCTACTCGTCAGCGGCGGGCTGCGGTGATGATGCCCTGACTGATCTCTTCCCACCCTTCCGTGCGAGTGCTTCCAACAGATCTATCGAGCCGGCAGTGCTTGCAGCAACACTCGAGAGGGCGGAAATCCAGTCTGGCCAGCGAGAGGCGATTGACTGGCTCACAGCGGCCGCCCGCGGCAACGTCTCGCGCCCACTGCACGCTACGTCTTTTGCGGCCTTTCTCACTCATGTTCTCGCTTCCAACACTGTCATGACGCCACACAGGGATGAACTGCCGCTGTCAATGAAGGCGATAGACCTCATCAAGGCGCATCTGCCACTGCGTGACCTCCTGACATCTGAATCATCCTCAATATTGTTCAGGTGACACAGAACGACAACATACAGGAGCGTCAGACGGTCTTGCTCCTTTTTCTCTCTGTTTCCTGTTGCTGGGTTGCAGCATGCTGGTGCACTTACGTTCTGCGGTTGATGCGGCCGGCCTGGAGAAGGGAGATGCGTCGTGTCAGCCGATGGGCAATTCTAGTTGGTCGTTTCCGTTTGACGCATTAGCAGGGCGGTGGAAGAAGAGGAAGTTCTTTTCCATCAAGGAGCATGGCTTCGAGGAGGCCAAGCAGATGGCCATCGCTCCCAGGCGGGAGATGGAGAGGCTGCACTACCTGCATGTCGGCAAGGGGGCAGATTGAGAGCAGCCCGATGAGATGGCCGTAGATGATAGCGAGGAGGAAGAGGAGGAGGAGTGAGTGAGTGAGAGAGTGAGTGAGTGAGCCCATGTTGATAGATTGTACAGACGCTCGCTATGAAGAGACTGGTCTGTGCATTAATGCGTTTATCGTACAAAAAAGCGGGATGTGTCGTTGCGGTTCACGACGTGGTACCAGATGATTCGGAGAGACTTTCCCAACTTTCTGCCGCTCGTCGCTCACGTCGCTACAACGAGGTTCTTTCTTGAGGGCGAAGTCCTTCAAGACACGGGTACTTCAGTGTGGACCCCTTGGTTCTCTTACTTCTCTTCCCTCTCTTCTCCCCCCTTGTACTGTGTCTACGCACACCTGCCTCTGAATCGAACCTTTGCGACCCACCATTTTGAGCCAGGAGAGCATTCCTCGGGCGCGCCCCACATGGATGCAATTCCCCTGATGTACGGTTGTAAAATTCGGTAGAAATTGCATTCTCTTGTCTCCTGTGAAACCACAGACCATGTCTCTACTGAATGGTCATTGCTTCTGCCCTGGTGGTGGGCATACTCTCGCTTAAAATCCGCTCGACAGGAAGGTTCTTCCATATTGCATCTATCCGATAAACTGCACCTTCATAAGTCTGCAGAACCTCAGGCAGATCCAGAAGGAAGTTCTCGAAAGCTGCCACGATCAGCCAGAATAGGCTGGCACTCAGAATGCCTTGGGGGCATCGCCGAATGTCATCTGCAAAGTCGGGACGCATAACAGACAATGCCAATGGCTTAATCGAACATTCGCGTAGCGCAAACCTAGGGTGATCTGGTTAGCAATGCGGATTAACATCCTGGTTTACGTTGTTGAAGTTGTTGTGTGGATAGCAGAGTCCCACAGATCACGAGCGTTGATAAAAGAGCGGCAGAGAGGTCCAACATAAACAAGCAGGCAGGCAAACACGAAGGCGAACACGAAAAGGCACGTGGCCTTGGCGAGCTGGGCTATCGGCGACCCACGATGACATGCAGGCTGGCTGGGCTTATCGGCGACCCACTTACATGAAGGCAGAGGCAGGAAACAGGCAGCAAAGTCAGTCAACGCTCAAGTGTGCCAAAACAGTAGGTAGAGCGCTATGACTCGTAAAACACATGGCAAATCCCAACACCCCTCCTCACGTCTTGCAGGCTACTGCGAGACGTGGACCACACAGAAGCTAATTACTTGTACGCAGTATGTAAATGTATGCAGGTAAACC